GTTTTGTGATATTAATAATGCTAATGTATTGATATTTATCTAGTTTTGATTTAAGTTTGCTTGTCTAGCGTCGTCACAGTTGCTAGGTGACAAGGCGTACGCCGGGGTAAGGAGGGGAGGCTAGACCGTCCAAATCCACAGCCTCTTTTTTTCCGGTTTTCCCGGTCTACCAAGGACCCGGCCCGCAGAGACCGGGTAGTCTGGGTCCTCCGGAGGACCCGGCCTGTCGTTTTGGACACAGTCGTAGTGTATGATAAATACGGGCTCGTATGGCGGGCCACATTTGGCCAATGGGCCTCGACTTTGACCTGTAAGTGACAGAATGATGCAGTATGAGTTACAACACGATATAATAGAAGTTACGACAATACAATACAAAAATTCTTCTGATACAATTTTAGAAGTGATAACGCTACATGATGCAATAGGATCTGATACAAAATACTATACTTGACTGTCCCTTTTATGGAAATTTGTTTTGAACAGTGTGTTGTCCCYATAGCTGCCTTCACGCATCAATAAACAAACAATTTTAAGGCAAACAGAGTTGAGCTGCGGCCAAAAGCAGGTTTGCACCTTTACATTCAGACCCAGAGTCCACAGGTAAAACTGAATAATTGCTGAGCAATTCATTCTTGCCTCAAGTTACACTTTTGAGAAAGGAAAGAGTCCAGGTGTCTGCTGTGGGCTACGGCCCGGCTGGAGTGATCAACTCAGTTTTTTTTTTTTTTGTTTTGTTTTGTTTTGCACACTGGAGCAGCAGGCCAGGGTGTCCGTGTGAATATCAAGGAGTGATGGTAGATCGAGAGAAGGACTCCGGCAGAAATCAGTGAGAGGGGTGGTGATGGGCAGCAGGGTAAATCAGTCAGAAATAATCCAGACTTCACTTGGTTAGGCTGTCACTTCCTGTTGCGGTGACATGGATTGTGTTTGGCGGGTGTGAATGAAGGCCGGAGTTACTTACTCACTTTCATTACCGTGACAAAAACAAAAAAAACTGTGTTTAGGAGTGTTTCTTGACAAATACCAGAAACTTTACACTGTGCATACTGTAGATTTTAAATATTTGAAGGCTTTATTCTCATACAAATTTTCCAGGCCATGAATTGTAGATTTTTGTGGGTCTTTTTTAGACATTTGTGAATTTCTAWAATGGTGTAAGCTGACTTCCTGTATCACAGCTCTGTCATTTGCATCACTAAGTTTATAATTTCCCTAAATTAGACATAATTTAAGTTATTTCTTGTTATTTAATTGTTTTCTTTTCGCACACAAATCATTGATTGTGAGAAACTTTAGAAATCATCATTTTTTTTAATGCTTTGAAAGATGTTTGTTGCYCTGTGCTGGCAATAAAAAGGAAGGATGATCAATATCTGTATTTCATATTTTTCTTTTTTCCACCCCCAGTGGTGCATTGGGATGGAAAGTTGGTTCATTAATACATCTTTCAAGGAGAGGCTTTAATCAAATCGAAGGTCTCCCTCTGAAATTTCTTGCATTTTCAAACTCATTTCCATTTGTTGTCCCTCAAGGCAAGGTAATACAGTCCCAAGGTATATGAGCGAAGTCTCTGAGTTGGCGCCGCGTGAGCGACCTTCACCTGCAGCCGCCCCGGTCATTTGATGTGGAAATACTGGAGCAAGCGCAGGCGTACAAAAGCAAGACGTGTAAACACAAAAACACACAAAAAAGCTGACAATGATGATTGAGGCACATCTGGCTTCAGCGGACGATGCAATCGTCGGCTTCATTTGCACTTTTCAAAGACAAGGTTGCCCCGAGTCGCCAAGATGGGAAGCACTGAAGTACGACGAGCATATCCTGAATGGAAGAAACTCACAAAGAAGTCGCATAAAGTCGAGACGAGTGAGGAAAACTTGACGGTTCAAGGTGAAGCAAACTTGCGTCAGCTTTTAGCTGAACTTAAGTGTGTTCATCAGTGTGCTCCCTATTTAAACCACGCTGTTCATGGAGCAGAAGATTTAAGGACTCRGCCTAAAAACATATATCAACAGTGGTTCTGCGGCCTCGCTAAGCCCCCAGTTTACACYGCATGTGGCTCCAATCTGCTCCGTTCCACACCAATTTACACTACCTGCGGCTCAGCTCCAGTGCGAAGCACAGAGGTGAGAGTAGAATGGGCAGGAAATGTGAGATTGGACAGTAAAGCCAGTGATAAACAGAGCAAACGAACTCATTCTGTGGACGACAGACTGGAAACAGTTGAAACTGCATCACTGTTGGCTTTTTTAATCCATATTTCAAAATAAAATCTGTGTATGCATATGCTGCTTGTTGTGATCTGCTTCCCAAACAGACTGATAAATATGGACAGCATTAATATACAGTATATGCTGTATACAGTTTAAATATACTCTTATACGTATTAATATTGCTAGGATGTTGACAAAWTGTAGCCCTATTAACGGTGGAACAGACAATTTTACAGTGGGACAATGCATGAGSCTGCATTATCAGTGTGGTTCTTCCCAAAGAAAATGGCCTGCATGTAGACAAACTACTGAAGTCTGCTGCCTTCACCCACACATACAGACACCTCTGACTTCTGTACACCTTTGATTAATACCTTGAAAGTGACAGTGGCACGAACAAAACATGTTTGCTGCACTAACATCTCTGCAAATGCCAGTAAGTTTGATTTGACCAAACCAATCCATCATTATTGAAAAGATAAAGCCCTGAACATGTTTTGCATGGTTGATATTGTTAATATTGTGTAACAGCTTATAGCTATCATAGATTTAACTTCCGGTGGGGTTATGACCCCCACAATAATTTGATCAAGTTGATATAACACCCAATAAAACAACACCATTGTTGTATTGTGCTGTAACACAATTAAAATGAACTGGTGAAGTGAACAGCTGCAACACTTGTTGTCTTTAGGTAACTTTGACCTGATTTCAAAATTTACTATGTCACATAGTATTTGACATATTATGTACGTTTAAGCATAGTTGCTGAAAATAAATGCAGGGTTTTTGTCTGCCTTTCTAACATTATGGCTGGATTATGTTGTAATTTTTCCCAAACAATTTGTAGTGCACCAGGTAAAAACATACTTTTGGAAATTTTAGAAATTTAGGTATGTCGTCTTTGTTACTGTTGGAAAAAAATGGGG